GGGGGGGGGGGGGGGGGGGGGGTGAACTTACACATCATCCATGAATTTTACAGCAACCATGACACTAGTGATTAGCAGCCTATGAACACTGAAAGAATTGACTGGAAGAGTAGGTTGGCGCTGCGTAAACCGATCAAGATAAACATAGGCAACAACGTAGCAAGAGGGGCTACAGTTTGCATACTTGAAAATTCTTTCCATATAGCTCTGAATGGAAATACTGGGCCTGGTTAGGCCATGGAAGACTGAAAGTTTCTGGGATTGGAGGCTCTGGTTAACGTCGTTCGACTCTGCTACACGTTGAAGGAGAGAAGAGAGGAAGGTGATGAATTTAGGAATTTCGGTTGGGCTCTCGAAGTCAGCCATCTTTTGTTTGAATCTTGCAAGAGTGATGAATGTGTTGTAACTTGTCATGTTGGAACATATAAGGCACTTCTTTTTTACTTTTTGTGCATGCATCTGTCTAACAACCTGTATCTAAAGTGGTCATAGTTTGGAAAAGTAATTTAAGTTTTGTTGTATTTGGAACATGGCTAGGATGTCTGGTCGGATTTGGAATATTCTCACTATTACACCATTTAAATTTAATTTTTAAGGTGCCCTTCAGTGCAAGTCGAGGTCATTATTTTCACCGAACACTTGAAATATCAAATATCTATAGTTTTAACGAGACTTGAATTTAGAACATATATTTGCCTGATACAAATTGAATAACTCATTTAGAAGTTTGTGGGCTTTGTGGTTCTCCTAGCCCATTGGGCTAACCCGGTTTGTACTACTTTTGATTTTAGCCTTTGGATAAATTGGATGGTTAGGATGAATTCTTGGCAAGATATTTTTTTGGCTTGACTCTTGGTACCATAAAACGGGGTTTTTTTGGCTTCTGGAACACTCTTTCTTACTCTCTGTAAATGCTCTCCTTCTTCTTCTTGGTTGAATCGACCTCCCCTCCTCCATTTTGGCACCCCTAAATCGACCTTGGTTAACCTTACCTGTGTAGACTTAGGCCTGGAATAGTGGCTAAGTGCTGGTTCGTTCTTGAGGGTTTAGGTTCGATTTAGAGGGTTGTTCTGGCTGCTGTGGTAGATCATTTGGATCGATGACCCAAGCCAGGTGTTGAGCGTTCTTTACCGGTTCTTGCACTCTCTATGGATGGTGATTTGCGTGGCATGGTTGGGCAGTTCCTGAGCCTACATTGCAGCCGAAAACAGCAAGACGAACTGGAGCTTTGGCCGGTAGAAGGGGAGTAACTTTATGCTTTTATCTCTGTCCATTTACATGTTCTGTTCATTTCTGGAATCTGGCTTCAGTTTCGATTTATGCAGTATATATACATTTATAGTCATTTCTTGATTTGTATAGTAAACTGCCGATTTCTAGTATATCCTGCAAATGCCATTGATATATATTATTACTGCTGAATTTCTGGGATTGATATTGAACTGTTAATTTAAATGAGCTGCTAGAACTTGTTTATGCTGTTTTTGGTGCATGTGTACATTGTGTCTGCATAGGCTCCTTATTCTTAACAAAGTTTAAGCTATTTAGAAAAAAAACTCTTCAATACAATTTTTTTTTCTAAATCTTTAGGGAAAGTGCAATCTAGTTCAAAAAGTTTAGACATAGATTACAGTGCTTAAATTAGTAGGAATGCAAACTCTGGTCAGCTGTCCATTCTCCATATTCCACTAAGGGTGTTTTGGTGCTCTTTTGACTCAAATTTTTGGGACTAAGTTAGAATTTACAATTCTTTAATTTGAACTTAAGCTGTAAAAAGTGGAAAATAATTGATTATCAAGGACTTGAAATCTTGATTACTTATTCTTTTGATATTAAAGTGATAAACAAGAGGAAGTGCAGGTAGCACATATTAATCATGTGATTACATTTTAAAATAGTGAATATGAGTTGTGGATCCCACCTTTTTTTTTAATATATATAATATGCATAATTAGTATTTGGCCTAGCATTTGTTTGGCAAAATCAATGCATTATTACATGATTTGCTGCTCTCTTTTTTCCAGCCATAATATAATGATGTTGCCAAATAAAGTTCCAAAAGGGGCATCATATTTGTGAGTTGTCTGGTGTGGATGTTGAGATCAGTGACTAGATTTGTTGCCAAGTCAGTTCAATTTTTTAATAATGCCTAAATAGACTGATTTATGTATCTTATATTTAAATTTAATTTTGGCTTGAGTGGACACTTTTTGGAATAGCTTCCTTCTATCATGAGAATTGTACATTCGCATTTATTAGAGTTTTCTGGGCTAATCATTCGATATAGCAAGAGTTGTACACTCACGTTTATTAGACGGGTTCGGCTTAAGTAGACACTTGTCGATTAGTTTTTCGATATCACAAGAATTATACATAAACATGTTTATTTCTCTTATTTTGTTGTAACGTTTAAGTCTTCGACAAAATTTTTATACAATCTAAAACTAAAAGAAAGAAAATCGAGAAAGTAAAAGAAGCTAAAAGAATTAACATAAATTAGGATTGTTTTCACTTATAGGGTGCACATATTGAATTATTTAGGCCAACTCAATTTTAGGGTTTAATTTATGGGGTTCTGTAGTCATTGATTATACAGCAGGATGCAATTGATTAGGAGGAATTATGAGTTCATTACAAGCAAATATATAACAATTTTTAATGAAAATCTTAATTATGTGTGACACAAAACATTTTAACGGATTTTTTGGACACATACTCTCATTGTGTAATTTATAATATTTACTGAAAAAATGCATGCGTGAGTCGGGGGGGATCGAGTAGGAAAAAAATGGGAAACAAATAAAATTGAGAAGCTGCAAGCATGTTTTGTTGTAATTAGTGTGAAACAAAAAGCAAAAACATGTCCTAAGGAACTTGTCTAAGCTGTTCATATTTTTTGTACATTTTAGGATTGAAGATATCATGACAAACACACAAAAGAACCAGTTGTTGGCCGCGTTCACCGCCCCAAATCCATTTGTAACCCGCTGCATACTACAACAATTTTTGTTTTCTAGATGCATGTCACCCACTTCAATTATGAATTATAAAAGATCGTTGATCTGTTAAGTTGTGGAGCTTTATTGCAGTTCCGTGGAATCAGTACGCAAATCGAACTTTATAAATTTGTGTCTTTAAATCTTTCTGCTAATTGATTGCTCTCGATAAAATATAATTATAGTTTTTAATTTTCAACATGATTGACTTTTAGAGCTAAAAACATTGTCCTCTCTATTCAACGAACATGAGGCTGCTTGATCGCTGAAAGATAATAGTGGCTAAGTAATTTGAAGTTTGATCTTTATGTAGACTAGGCAATAATTATCGATCTAAAGGTTCCTCTTAAGATTTTTGACATCAACACCAAATTTAAATATGATGGACTATAAAGTATCTATGACCATAAAAATACTTAACATCTTAGGCCCTGTTTGATAGTTTACATTTTTCAAGGAAAATGAAAACTTTTGTAGTGTTTGATAGATAGGCAAAATTTTTCCGAGAAAATATTTTTGAACTTTCCAAATTTTCCACTTTTTTGAGGAAAATAAATTCTTGATATTTTGATTGTAAATATTTTCCAGTTTTTTTTTTTTTTTTTTTGGCAATTGGAAAAAATTATAGACACAATAGTAAAAAAAAAATCACTTTTATTGACAATTTTCATGCAAAACAAAGTCAAACGAATAATATTCGGTATGACTATTTTTTTTATTTTTTTTTTTGCAATTGGAACAAATTCTAAACCCAATGGTGAAAAACATTATCACTTTAATGGACAATTTTCATAAAAAAAAAAGAAGTCAAACGGACACCAAACTTTCAACATTTTCCATGGAAAATTATACCAATCAAACTCAATTAATTACAATTATCAGTAAAACAATTTCTAGACAAATCAATTCTCTGTAAAACATTTTCTTTCTACCCATTTCCCACATTTACAATCAAACAAACCCTTTGAGTTTTTAAATTGAATAATGATTCTCTTACAGTTTCATTCACATTA